CGAAATCGAGACCATGCGAGAGAGTTCCTATACCTTTTGGTCGTAAGGCAATTTGTAAACTTGTGGACTAAATTGCTGTACACATGTCAAACTACGCAGAGAAAATTTTCTCTTAGAATTTATTTAGATGAAAATCATGGTAATCGTGGGACAATATGGTATTGGAAGAATTTTATAAGAGTTTTTCTGATTAATATTTACCACAATAAAAATATTAATATATACATAGTGAAATTTACTATGTACCTATTAATATTTTTTATTGTGGTAAGTATTAATCAGAGAAACTCTTATGAAATTAAGGTACAGGTTCGATCATCAAAAAAGGCTTTAACAGAATCTCATCATGACAACGATTTCTCTCTTATAAATTTGACAAAAGTGTTTATAATTTATGTGTGGAGACTCTAAAGAATGGAGAATTGTTCTGCTTCAATTATATTACATTGTTTCCTTTACTTGAAAGGGACCAAAACCTGATTGTCAAAACGAAACATAAAATTATTAATTCTTATAAAATTCTTCTAACACCATATTATCCCACAATTACCATGATTTTTAGGGTAAACTCTAAGAGAAAATTCTGTCCGTGTACGCAGATCGAACCTCGATAAAAATAATGATGGTGGACGAGTTAAAAAGCACATAGGATTGAACTTTATACCCACACAATTCATGTAAAGACGAAGAAGTGTTTAAATGACAGAGATAAAAAAGTTTAGCGTTCATTTTTCCCATAGTAGAGCGAGATTCGGATATATCTCACGAATGATGAGGTCAGACGCGACCTGTACAGATCTTGCAAGAGTCGCGTTAGCTTTTATACGTCCATTATTAGGGGCGTCAGCAGTAAGATCATCTCTCTGGGCCGTAAACGTGTTAGCGAAGAATGCCACTTTCGTTTAAGCGGGCTACATAACAAAACCGTGGCAGATGGATAGCAATGGTGCGTGTGCCGGGGCTCGGATTTTAGGCAAACGAGGCAGTTACAGGCGTTTGCATAATTTAATATGCTGCAAACGAGTTCTCGCTACCTGTGTTTATGCAGCAATAAAATCTGAAAGGATCAGGTGCTTTGTCCTGGGCCGCGCAACGTTTTGTGCTTGACGTCGTTGACCCTGTCTTCCTCGCCATTACCAGCCGCGGGCGAAGCGCGCGCAACAAAGAGATCAGCTGTCAGATAAACAGCCGAGAGAAAATTTGTGTTGCCAATAAAGGCGGCGACGCGCATGCCTCGTTCCTTGCAAAGTAAGAGAGCAAAAATGACAGATGAACGAGCATAAGACAAGAAGAGAATCGGAGACGCGAGAGATAATCTTGCACGGTATCTCACCTCTTAGAAAGAGAGTCAGGTTAGGTTCTCTAATTTGATTATATTTATGTCATAATCGGACGTGTATATTTATTTGGTGTTGAATCGCCCGAGTTGTGGGTCCTTAACGAAAATATTTACGTCGACCTCTCTTCGGGAAATTTTCTTGCACTCTGGTGGAGAGTATCGCCTTCGTACACCACGAGAGAGAGAGACGAATCTCTTCTCCTTCCTCTCTTCTCCTCACCGCAACCTAAGATGGCCGAGCGTATCCTATGTCGTGGGAACCTTTTTGCCAACTGGAGCACGGACTGGGCCTAACCGAGGGCTTGTCGGAATCCGAGCAGGTAGCCTCGCACGCGCAGGGTCTTCTTAGGCTTGTGAGAAAAATCGTTTGGATCGGTACTTTTGCGATGGCGTCCCGCCCGTTCTCCGATTCGCATCGGGAATACGAAATACGTTGTTGCCTTCCCCGATATCCATCCCCCGTATTTCCCGATCAAAAAATTTTATGACGTCAAAATTACAATTTCCTGGCTAAATGAGTTTTTTATACTATATATCATTTTAGTCTATTTTACACCCTTTTAACACCCCTTTATATATTTTTATTACATAATTATTATATATTATATACCTATTATATATTACATATTATATATTATTATGATATATTATATAAAAATTATGATATATTATGTAATAATATATAACACAAATTATAATTTATGCAAAATTCTTCCTAACGATAAAGGCTATAGAATGGCTTTTTTGAGGCTAAAAATTTGTTGAATAGCATTTTTCGAGAGAAGGTTTTAATTCCACGATCAGCTTATAGAACGTCATCCCTTAATGAAGCCCGGCCGCGAAATAAGCAAAATAAACAGATACATCTCCGCGTAAGTCGCGGATGCATCCGGAGTTTCCCGCGGGACGCGAGCGTGACAAGCATTTAACGGGCGCGATTTCTCATTAAAATGCCACGGTAGAGGAAAAAAGGACAATAAGAATCGCGGGTATCGGTACCCGCGAGCTACCGCGTATAATCCCTCGATCGGGCGCGACACGCGGTTTTGCCGGCGAATATGCTGAATTCGCCGAGGGAATATTGCCGGCAATTCTCGCTCGCGCGGGCGCCAGACAATAAATTGGTTTCGCGCTTCGGGACAATCGTTACGACAATTAGCAGTGCCGTCGCTAATTTCGACTAATTAACGCGAGTGGAGAAAAGTCCCCGAAACATTGGCATCGCGGAATACATCGATGCGCCGCCGGGCTGACATTTTGCTCGTTAAAACGTCAACGTGGATGACTGGGTCCATTTAATGGGCTTCTAATTAATGGAAACGCGGCCGTTTATTCGGGAAGACTTTTCGGCGCTTTCGACGCGAGGCTTGGATTTGGAGAGGGAGGATTTTTCCACCCCCATTCTTATTTTCGCCATTTTTTATTTCTTCGTCTGTATATTCAGATTTATCATGTTATATGGTTTACGTCGTAAACATGGCGAGAGAAATTTAATTCGAAGGATTCCTGTGGAGGAAAATGCCTTATTCGATATATTCAGATAATAGAGGGAACGGCAGAATGTGACGCGTTGAAATATTCGATGGAAATTGAATATCGGGCCGACGAGGAATTATGCGATACACGGGGAATGACCGGGAGAAATCGGTTTTGCGTATACAATCACGTTAATAAATACCACTGAGGCCGTACCAGCGCTAATTAATGCAGATGCGCACATGATTATGTAGAATTTGCGTTATGTCACGCAATGACGGTAATACTAATGCGATTCGTCTCTATATATTTTGGTCGGATTCGGGCTGAAAGAAAACGGCTAAAATATATGTACATATATCGTGGCAATAAACTACATTCGCAATTGATTACATTGCGTTTTGTGGCTGCTCGAAAATCGAATCGCAGACCGGAAATCATATAACTTATCCGCACTTAATTCCGCAAAGTCATAATTTTATATCAGAATATTTCGCACAAAAAGGAGAAAAAATTAAAGAAAGTTCCAAATTTAATTATGAATATTTTGTTATTATTAATTATTATAATAAATATATAAATATATTTTAAATATTTATATAAATCTAATTTATAAATATATATATTTATAAAATCTTACAATTAAAATATCTATATATATTTTTAATAATTTTATTATTATATAATATACTTTACGAATATACGATTAACCTTATTATAAAAATTATGAGAGGAGCGTCAGATGCTGTTATATTATGTAACGACATTTTTGTCACGAACATAACACTTTTTTTAAAAAATTATTTCTTTTTACTTAACATAATCACAATGTGTACTTTTTAAAAAACAAATCGATATCTCTACACAGGAATCTTTTTGCATATTAAATAAACACATCCTAATATTATATTTATAATTATTATATAAATATACATTGAAAATATACAAGTATAGATCTCGTTATTTGGAGACGATTTTTCCTCAGCAAAAATATCGAGGAAGGCCAATATTTTTACATGTTCCCAATTTTTGCATCATCATGTATCTTTATAACTAAATCTTAAATTAAAATTTTATTAAAGTAAACTTTACTTGAAATTAATTGCAGAATGTGGTTTTGTTAATATTTTATTTCCACAAGACTTTGTTTGCAAAAAAAACCTTTATTTTTAATCGCTCGAAAATTATTATTGATGCCGCAATATTTTTGCCGAGGAAAAATTATCTCCAAATAATAAGATCTACATGTATATATATTTTCGGTGTGACATTTTATGTCAGACATCCTTTAATTATACAATAATTACATCATGTATAAATACAATTATAATTTGTAATATATTATACTAAATAATTAATATTATATCCAAGATAATTCCGCATCTTCTTTGTGCGCGAGAGAAATATTTTCCGAAATTGACGGTCATGTAGAAACATTGGAGAGAAAGATTGTTCTGTAGAAGATTAAGTAAAAGAATTATCTTATGCATTGATATCGAGAATAAGGACGACGATCGGCAGCCGGAGGTCGGAAATCAGCGGCGACGTCGAGAATTTCCGGCGCGAGGGCGAAAAGGAGGAGGAGGAGAAATAACAGAAGAAGAAGAAGAAGAGACGAGGAAAGGAATAGACGAAATGCAAATGTACCGCGAGGGTGGCGGCATCGGTTACCGCGGCTTGGCGGCGCAGAGTAGAGGAAGGGATGCTTAAATTTCCGATATTTTAACCGCGCGGCTTACTCGCGCAACAAGTCCTTTCTCCTCGGTTACCTCTGAAAACGCGCGCGCCTAAGTAATTTCGGGTACGCCATCATCCGGCTCGCGGCTTCCACATGCATCTCCTTCATCGCCATTTACGACTCCTCTCCTCCTTTTTTCCGCCCTCACTTCCGCTTATTCGTTAACCATCTTTCGATTACGCAAGTGACTGTACGAGTGGCATTTTTTCGCATCGAGGAAATGGAAAGAGCGGGTCTTTTTTAGACAAATTAGTTTAACAAATTAAATTAAATTATATCAAAGTTGTCTTAAAAATTGAAAATTATTAATTTAAAGAGTTAACATTGTTAATTGATTTTATTTATATTTTATATTGATTTTTTTTCTCTGAGAGTATTCATTAATTTCCATTAAGCTGATGAAATTTATAATAAATTGTATCTAACAAATATTTTTTTCTTTTACAGGAGGAACGGCTAATTGAGAACCAAGCTGGTAAGTTAATTCCTTCCAATGCGATTTGTTAATTACTCAAAGTTATATGTCACTTTTTAAAATTTCTGGATATTCAATATATCTTCCACTTTGTCTTTAATATTTTTTGCAAATTTCGAAAGAGCCATTCAATTTCATTTAAAAAATATTTTTTTCATCACTAATATTTTTCGGGGGGCAAAAAATGCTGATCAAAATTTTATATTTAAGATTTTTAATTTACTAATAATTCAATCTAATTGTTTTTTAAACGTGCAGAATTTCAAGATCTCTCTCGTAATTTGTTATAATCATCAAGATTCGCGCTTCTCGAGAGATTCGATTTCACTTAAAAAATATTTTTCTCATCACTAATATTTTTCGGGGGGCAAAAAATACTGATCAAAATTTTATATTTAAGATTTTTACAAGATTCGCGCTTCTCGAGAGATTCGATTTCACAAAAAAATATTTTTTTCATCACTAATATTTTTCAGGGAGCAAAAAATACAGATCAAAATTTTTAATTTACTAATAATTCAATCTAATTTTTTTTTTAAACGTGCGGAATCTCAAGATCTCTCTCGTAATTTGCTATAATCATCAAGATTCGCGCTTCTCGAGAGAACTATTCCGACACGAGAGGAAAGAGGAGGAGGAGGCCGTACGGTTTGTGAGGCGTGAACTTCTCGACGGTGCATTCTACCGAGAGTGAGAATGCTGTAGACTTCGTTTTAATTTTTTTTTTTTTCACCGAGCACCACCTCCCTTCTTTTTCCCTCCTCGCGCCGTAAACTTGTGCACTTCGTCGGATGGATTCGTCGCGGCTGCATTAGCGAAATAACCTGTCGCGCCGGACACGTATTCACTTCGCGGTTCTCTCTCGAACGATCTTTTCTTCGTTTGGACGTGACTGGTCCTGAACCGGAGTTTCGACACGCGCCTTCCTCGCGGACAAATTTGGCTGCGTTTTCGTCCTTTATTCAAGAAAAGTAATTATATCCAGGTATATTGAAGTATAGCGAAAAGCAATCAACATAAATAATTAATATATATGAGTTAATTATTTTATGATTTAAGAGCGGAACATTTTATAATTTGTTTTGTTTCATTTTAGAACTTCCTCTTTTCCATCATTTTTTATCTACACTTTTCCACCTTTTTTTCATCTTTCCTAGCAATTTTTCGCATCTTCCACACCGAAAAAAAAATTGATTGGATTCGAATAAATATTTATTTTCATACTGCCTAATAAATCATTTGTTTGAGGCTAAGAATACTGATTTGATGTGAAAAATTATTTAATATACGAAAATCCTTCTCAAAACAGATAAATATTTTTTTAATTAATTAAATAAATGATTTATTAGACAGTACTGAAATAAATATTTATTAATTTAATAATTTTTTTCGTGCATCTGCTTTTCTCAGGTTAAAATTATCTTTTTCTCTTTCTACCTCAACCTAATTTCCTCTCTCTTCCTCCGCGACCTTTATGATTTTAGAGGACAATTTTTGAACTAAATAAGTGTGTCGAAAATCTCTTCATCGTCTTTAGATGAAGGTAAATTTCCATATTCGTTCGTATATCTCGTGTGCACCAACTTGGCAAGTTTCGTTACGCTCGACGTGGCGCGAAAAGTTGCAAAGGGTTGGAAATTCCGTTCTCCAAAAATACATATCCGTGTTGGCGTGTGTGCGGCCTCGCTTCTCTGATCCTCCCGATCTCTAACCGAGAAGTTTCAAGTAGTTCGGCGGAACACACCGCGCGGGGAGATATGGCCTCTCTCGACCGATCGCAATTATCCTTAAATACCGCGGCTGCATCTGCTCCCCTTTCACGGGGAGTCTTCGTGGTCGCGAGAATCCGTAAGAGAAAGACAGCCATGCGGTCGGGAACTTTGTCGGGAATTCGTGAAACTGTCGCGCGGAATATAAATTTTCGTCGGTTAATTCCAGTCTCTCCTGCGCAAATTGGAGAATTCCAGGAGAGATAGGCGAAAAAAAATTCGCAAAAATCCCTTCTTATCGCTAATCTATCAATGAACGAAATTTCGAAAATATAAAGCTATACGAAAAATTATATATAAATATTATATGTATATACAAAATAATAATATATGAAAATATGTGTATAAATATTTGAAAAATTTATATTATTATTTATTATATAATCATATAATTATATTAAAAATAAAATTAAGATGACATTGTAAAAATTTTTAACGCAAATCTGATTAATTTTACTATTTCATTATTTTGTCATTTTTAACTGAAGTGATTGAATTATCAAAACTGTCAAAGATTTCATAGTTTTTATCGAGAGTCTTTTTCTGATTATTGCATAATTGATCGATTTCTCCTGCCGTTGATCGATCTCGAGGGATCTTGGAGACGGGTGGATTAGTAAAGTGATCGGGTATGCTGCGGACTAAAATCTGCAATAGCAATAGCAAACGTTTACCATTGCCAATCAAGCACATAATACCGCCTCGCCGATACGGCCAAACAGCCTATGGGGATTTCATGGTATACGCGCGTGCGTGTGTTTAGATGTGTGCGTGTATGTGTTTGCGATCAAATCCATACAAAGTGCTCGCCCGTCGTCGTCTAGCGGTCGGCGCACATACGTATACGTAGGTCCAATATTTTGCTAGGGCCACACGTTTGGCGTTCACTTGATATACCGCGGCGCAGATTGGATTTGAAGTTTATAGGGCGGAAATTCTTCGGGGACCCGGCCTACCCCCGAGGCCGCGTGGGAGGCTCGAGGGTGGAAATGACCGGGTGAGGAAACGAGAAATTATACCAGTCGTGTCTTTTGTTTTTAAAAAGTCGCAAGTTAGACACGAGTTAGAGAGGGTTTCTCTCCAAATATGGACTATATACAGTTGCTTTGCATCTGGATTTTAAATTAACAAATTAATAATATAGATGGGTTTCAGATTTTTTAATATATTTTATAAAGCGCAAAAAAATTTTTTAGAACATTGAGATAGGATAAGTAACATTGATCTGTCATGTATGAGATGTTTAAATATACAGGGCGTTTCAAAATTAGCGGACACCCTATTAATCCCTGTGAGAAATTTCTAATGTTATTTGGACACGATTTTTTCTAAACGAAAAGGTCTAAGTATTTTCAGGTGGAAAATGAAGAATTTTTGCAAACTAAGCTTTGTGAAAATAAAATTACCACATTCTTTAATTAATTTTATGTAGAGTTTATTTTAATAGAATTTTAATTTTTAAGGCTTATTGTTAGTTACAAACATGGGCGTCTGTAGAATTTTTTTTCCAGGAGAGGAATTAAATTTAAAAAATTTTTTATTTTTCTTAATTTTTCAAATTTTACTTTTTGCCATTTTGTTGTTTTCACTTTTTTATATTAAATATCCAAATAAATTCCAGTGTTTATTCAAAAGGAAAGCAAATTCTAAATTCTTTTACTAATTCCAAGGACGCCCATGGTTACAAAAATATGTACATAATGGCAAAAATTGGGAACATACAAGAAATTATGACATTCCTCGACATTTTCGCTAAGGAAAAATCGTCTCTAAATAACTTTCGGAATCTCTCATTATCTGAGTGTCCGGTAATTTAGGGACATCCCGTATATATTTTTGAGGTATGAAACATTCCCTTAGAGATTATTAAGAAAATTTCTCTTGGATCTGACGTATGCACACTACTTTCGTATTGTTTCGTAACGTCATCGTGTTTAGGCAATTTTTGCCTAATTGATTGACATTCTTTGACTAAGTGTCATCGTAATCTCCTCATATTTAATATTTTTTCCAAGAGAGAAAGAGAGGATTCGGCGATCTTTTTAGTAGCGCGACGACGTTAGGGGGCACCGCTAATATTTCACCCAATTATTCGACGCTTAGGCCAGAGGAATCCCGTCTTCGGCACGTCAAGGACTCCGGACCGGGCGGTCCGGTAAGAAAAAGCGGAGAAGAAAAACACAAACGAAAGGAGAGAAGCAGGCGATGAGAGATGACGTTCTCTCGGGGAGAGTTAAGGGGGGTGCAGGGGGGTGGAGGGGGCGAGACAGAATTAGAGATGCAGAGCCACGTTCGCGGTCATCGGGGGATATTAAGCCGAATCCCTTAGCTTGATGGATGAAACGGGAGTTACGTTAGTATCCAGTATCCGGCGGTGTCCGTGTCCGTGCATCATCAATAACTCTCCTGACTCTTTCACCTTGGCCGGGCCGTCTCTCCTCTCTCTCGTGACGTCGCTATCGCCTCCCCTATCTTTCGATGGACCGTCGTCGGATCTCGCGAAACTCGAGATTCATAACCCGCCGTCTCATCGTATCCCCGAAAGTATCCCGCACTCTTATGGATTTCGGTGAAATCAGCTGGTTTTCTCATATGTTGTAGCTTACGATCTGCTATGACAGCTGAAACACGAGAAACGAGCTCTAGAACCTGCAACTGTTTATTATTTAGTTTTGGGACTATCGCATCTTTTGTTCAGACAACATATGAAAAAATCAGCTGATGACCTAACCCAACCATATTTCACATAGGATTACCAGACAGCACTACCATGTCCAAAATTGGCGCATAAGTCATTTTTAAGAAGTCTTTAAGGGATCCTAAGCTAACTTAAGTTTCAGTTCTGTTTTATCAACAAAATGTGAGGTTAGATTCAGCCATAAATCTATTTATTGGGTATACGGATTGTTTTTTACCTGAAATTAAAGCGCTTCCACATTTGTTAATATTAATACTTTAATTTGTAGAAGAAAAAGATTTATCAATATGTATAGTCTCATATATCTAGATTACAGAATTATGAATTCCAGAATTCAAGAATTCCGCAATCTAGATACATGCGACTATACAGATTGATAAATTTTTTCCTGTATAAATTAAAATATTAATATTAACAAATGTGGAAAAGCTCTCATTTCAGATAAAAAATAATTCGTATAGCAAATAAATAGATTTATAGTATCTAACCTCACATTTTGTCGATAAAACAGGATTGAAACTCAAGGACGTTTAGGA